GGGCTCTTCCCATTACTTCCATTCATCGATTGCATGAATAGCCTAAGCCAATGGGCTCTCCCCATCACTTCCATTCCTATGGTTGCTTGCTAACATAAGTTCTCTGATGATCAACAGGGGGTAAGTGCTGATGGAAGGCTTTTCTATGTTTATCACATTCACCTGTGTTTCTCTACTTTGCCTTCTCCGACGTCGAAGAGTAGCAGGACCACGATCGAAAGTCCTCCCCCCTTCCTTACAGTCATAGGGCTTCTCCTCGGTGTGAACAACCTGATGCTGAGTCAGCTGGGAGCCGTGGCTGAAGGCCTTCCCACAGGCCTGGCACACGTAGGGTTTCTCCCCCGTGTGGATCCTGTAATGCACGGCGAGGTGCGAGACCCGCTTGAAAGCCCTCCCGCACGCCTTGCACGGGTAGGGTTTCTCTCCCGTGTGGATTCTCTGGTGTTGCTTCAGCTGTGAGCTCACCCGGAACGCCTTCCCGCAGGCCTGACATTCGTAGGGCTTCTCACCCGTGTGGATTCTCTGATGCCGGATGAGCGTGGAGCCCTGATTGAAGGCCTTCCCGCAGTCCTTACATTCATAGAGCTTCTTGCCAGTGTGAAGAGTCTGGTGTTGGATCAGCTGGGACCGGTGGCTGAAGGTCTTCCCGCATTCCTTGCAGGCGTAGGGCTTCTCCCCCGTGTGAATCCTACCATGGACTTTCAGATGGGAGATCCGATTGAAGGCCTTCCCACACTCTTTGCACTGATAGGGCTTCTCGCCGGTATGAATGCGCTGATGTTCGATCAGCTGGGAGCTCCGGCCGAAGGCCCTGGCGCAGTCCTGACACGCGTAAGGCTTCTCGCCGGTGTGGACCCGCTGGTGCTGAATGAAGTTTGAACCCGAGTTGAAGGCCTTCCCACACTCCTTGCACTCGTAGGGTTTCTTGCCAGAATGAATGTTCTCGTGCTGAACCAGGCGAGAGCCGTACTTGAAGGCCTTCCCACACTCCTTACATTGATAGGGTTTCTCGCTGGTGTGGATTCCCTGGCGGCGAATGAGGAAGTCCTCTGGCCAGAAGGCTTCCCTACATTCGCCATAGTCATAGGGCTCGTCCCCTGGATGGACTTTCCCACAGAAAGTAAGGGATGCCTGCGGGCTGAGAGGGGGCATTTCTTCAGGACGGACGATCACGTGACTCAGACGTTCATCTGGATCCTCCCGCTGTCCGTCAAACTGGCTTCCGCACTCCCAGTCAACTGGGAGACTCGAGCACTCGAGACCGTAACTCGGAAGGCTTTCTGGTCTCGCCCACCGGGTCGCTTGTCCTTCACAAACAGGCTGCTCTGGAGGTGACACCTTAGTCTCAGACCTGGCCTCCGAGGCTGAAAAAGAACGAAAGAGCAAGTATGCTTCTTGTTTTTTTCCTTTTGCAGAAAAGGGGACTTGTCTAGTAAAAACTGAAGATAATGCCAACAAG